GGTACTGATCAACAGAAGGAAAGAGCTGTCTGATAGGTGGAAAAAGGTGGGAAGAGAAAGGGGAAATCCTCAGAGAGCATTCAAGACAGAATGGAGCTGTCTCAAAGGGAGACAGTGGAAGAGGAACTGGTTTGGAGGCTAGGCTGTTGGTGAGGTCAGCTTTGGATATGCTCAATTCAAGAAAGAGGTGGGTATTTACAAGGAGTGGAACAGAGTTACCTTAAGAATTAGGTGTTCAGTCACTGTTTTAACTGAAAAAGCCACTTTGCCAAGGAAGGCATTTGGGGACATATTTTGGTCAGTGTTTGTTTATCTATATTTTATTATTTTTTTTGAGACAGAGTCTCAATGCCTGTAGTCCCAGCTGCTTGGGAGGCTGAAGCAGAATTGCTTGAAGCCAGGAGGCGGAGATTGCAGTGAGCCAAGATGGTGCCACTGTACTTCAGTCTGGGAGACAGAGCGAGACTCTGTGTCAAAAAAATTCCCAGCACTTTGGGAGGCTGAGGTGGGCAGCTCACTTCAGTTCAGGAGTGCGCGACCAGCCTTGCCACCATGGTGAAACCTTGTCTCTACTAAAAATACAAAAATTAGCTGCGCATGGTGGTGTGTGCCTGTAATCCCAGTTACTCAGGAGGCTGTGGCAGGAGAATTGCTTGAACCTGAGAGGCAGAGGTTGCAGTGAGCCGAGATTGCGTCACTGCACTCCATCCTGGGTGACAAAGCAAGACTAAAACTAAATACAAGTAGATGTTCATCATGGTTTTATTTATTTTTTTATTTTTTTATTTTTATTTTTTTTTGAGACGGAGTTTCGCCCTTGTTACCCAGGCTGGAGTGCAATGGCGCGATCTCGGCTCACCGCAACCTCTGCCTCCTGGGGTCAGGCAATTCTCCTGCCTCAGCCTCCTGAGTAGCTGGGATTACAGGCACGTGCCACCATGCCCAGCTAATTTTTTGCACTTTTAGTAGAGACGGGTTTTCACCATGTTGACCAGGATGGTCTCGATCTCTCAACCTCGTGATCCACCCGCCTCGGCCTCCCAAAGTGCTGGGATTACAGGCTTGAGCCACCGCGCCCGGCACCATCATGGTTTTATTTATATTAGCTTTATGGGGGGAAAAAGCTAATACAAATAATGTCGTGATGAACATATATTTTCCCATTATTTATATGGGAAACGAGTAATATTTGTAACAACAGTGGAGTCCATCATGTCCATCAATTTGATAAAATAAGATGGATTCCAGGAACTGTTCTGAGTACTTTATAAATGCAGTATTAATTCATTTAATCCTCACAGCAATCCTATGGAGTGTGTATTATAATTGTAAGTCCCATCTTACAGATGAAGAAACAGGTTTGGAGATTTTAAGTAACTCATTCAAGATTACACAGGTAATAAGCAGCAGCCTGCCATTTGAATCAGGCTGTCTGGTTCCAGTCTTTGCTCTAACCACTACAACATTGCCTCATGGTATTTTATTTTGCCTGACTCCCTCCGTCCCTCCCTTTCTCCCTTCCTTCTGTCTTTCCTCCTTCCTTCCTTCCATGGTATTTTATTTTGCCTTTCTTTTCTTTTCTTTTTTCTTTCTTTCTTTCTTTTTCTTTTTTTTTTTCCTTTTTTTTTTTTTTTTTTTTTTTTCAGTCTTGCTCTGTTGCCCAGGCTAGAGTGAAGTGGTGTGCTCTCCAGCTCACTGCAACTTCCACCTCTGGGTTCAAGCAATTCTCGTGTCTTAGCCTCCCCAGTAGCTGGTGTTAAAGATGTGTGCCACCATGTACAGCTAACTTTTTAATTTTAGTAGAGACAGGGTTTTGCCACGTTGCCCAGGTTGGTCTCAAACTCCTGGCCTCAACCACGCATCTCGGACTCCTAAAATGCTGGGATTACAGGTTGCACCTGGCCTTGCCTGATTTTCTTTCTTTCTTTCTTTTTTTTTTTTGAGACAGAGTCTTGCTCTGTCATCTGGGACAGAGTGCAGTGGCACCCTCTTGGCTCACTGCAACCTCCGCCTCCTGGGTTCAAGCAATTCTCTTGCCTCAGCCTTCCAAGTAGCTGTGACAACAGGCATATGCCACCATGCCCAGCTAATTTTTCTATTTTTCGCAGAGACCAGGTTTCACCATGTTGGCCAGGCATGTCTCGAACTCCTGACCTCAGGTGATCCACCCGCCTCAGCCTCCCAAAGTGCTGGGATTACAGGCTTGAGCCATCGTGCCCAGCACTTGCTTTTTTAAAAAGAGTTTTATAACAAGGTAGGGTGCAGTGGCTTGCACCTATAATCCCGGCACTTTGGGAGGCCAACACAGAAAGATAGCTGAGACCAGGAGTTTGAGACCAGCCTGGGTAACATGGTGAAATCCTGTTTCTACAAAAAATACAAAAATTAGCCAGGTGTGATGGTGTGTACCTGTAGTCCCAGTCACTCAGGAGGCTGAGATGAGAGAACTGACTGAGCCCGGAGGTGGAGGTTATAGTGAGCTGAGATCGCGCAGCTGCACACCAGCCTGGGTGACACAGAGCAAGGCTCTGTCTCAAAAGTAAACAAAAACAAAAACAAAGAGAATAAAACTTTGGCGGAAAAACATATCCTTTCTATTCAGGGGAGGAGAAGATCAGATAGGAAAAACGTGATAATTTCCAAAGTGCTCCCACGTCTCCTCAAAATCAACCTGCAAAGCTATTGTTTTCATTAACCCCAAGGCTCAGAAAGGGTTAAGTGTCCACTCAGAGGAATGCTGCCAGTCTGCCTGATTTCCAGTCCCACACTTTCTCCACCACTTAGTGTAGTTTGGACAATTTCAAAACAGTGTGCGCCACTTCAGACCTGTGATCACTCAGGAAAAGTACCAGGAAGAGGCTCAAGTGAAGGTAGAGGTCTGGACCGGACTTGCCCAGAATTAACTCACCAACATTGATGTCCTAGGGCTAAAATGTTTGAACAATTGAAGGACTGTCCCTTTTAAGCCTTCCTTTGCCTCAGGCAAGGGATCTTCCCTAAGATCCCTTTGTGAAATTCACCTTTCTTTTTCTATTCTCCACCTCCCCCACAACTATAGGTTAGTACAGCTTCTTCAGACCAACCTTAGTCTCAAAAGTCTCATCAGAGGTAGCTAAGAGACCAGGATAATGGTAATGAGGATAATAATGACTAAGTTAATAGTAAGAGCCAAAGGGTAGAGAGCACTTGCTATATGCCAGATGTGTCCTGGGCAATGTTTACATACATTTAATTCTCACAACAGTTTTATGGGAAAGGCACCATTTTACTGATCAGGAGACTGAGGCTCAGAGGGTGTCAGTCAGAGGCTTGACTGGGGCTAAGCAGGGGAAGGTGGATTAGCAGCAATCCACAGACCACCGAGCTGTGAGTTTTTGGGCCCTGAACCCCTCATTTACAACTTGACTTCAGAATCACCTCCATATGATTTTTTAAATCTAGGGTTGTTTTTTAAAAATCACCCCCATAAATGACTGTGTTCTTTGCATATCTGATATTCCAAGGAAATGTGGCTTCTCTGGGAAAGACAACAGTACAAACATAGTAGCTTTTTTTTGAGCCAGAGTCTCACTTCATCCATCACCCAGGGTGGAGTGCTATGGCATGATCTCGGCTCACTGCAACCTTTGCCTCCCGAGGTTCAAGCCTCTCCTGCCTCTGCCTCCCGAGTAGCTGGGATTACAGGTGCCTGCCACTATGTACAGCTACTTTTTATTTATAAATTTATTTATTTATTTATTTTATTCTCTCCCGATTATGTTCAATCTCATAATTTTTATATATTTTTAATAGAGAAAGGATTTCACCATGTTGGCCAGGCTGGTCTGGAACTCCTGGCCTCAAGTAATCTTCCCACCTCTGCCTCCCAATGTGCTGGGATTACAGGCGTGAGCCACCACGCTAGGCTTCAGGCATGAGCCTTTAATGATACTAATGATCTATAAACTACTTTATCCTCATTTTTAATCTCCTGACCTTTTCAGCCCATTAAAAACAACTGATGTTTGATTTTCATAATTTCTTAACATAGAAAAATGTAAATACACACACACATACACAGCACAAAACAGAAATGATGAGATACTGTGGTGAGGAATCATGGTGTTTTAAGTGGAATCCTTGAACATTCTACCAAACCAAATGGGCAGATGAGGAGAATGTTGGGAGTTTCTGAAGTGAAGCACAACTCCGTAACTGGAAATTGTCAAGATTGGAAGGCATTATTTTGTTAGTCCATTATGTGGCGCATTATTCAAAGGCTTGGCTGGGAACGGGTGCTAGGTGATCTGTAAATAATCTACGAGTAACGTCTATCCCGAGTGGAACATTAACATTGTAGAAGCTGGACTTTCAAAGGGATCATAGGCCTACAGAGGGAAGCACAGCCTCCACCCTTTAATCGTTTGTACACTCCAACTATTGCATTAAAAGGACAGAATGAAGCAGGTAGAGAGGGTGAATTCGAATATAAATACTCTGTGCATGTGGCCAGTGAGGCAGTTAGAACCAGCAAGTGTCTCCGCAGCAACAATACAACTGTTAGGTCAAGTGTATGAAGGGTGAGGCCCCTTTGGGGCAGCTGTGAAAGAAAACCCCTATTAATCCCTTAACTAAGCAGCTGATGGATTTAATCTTTTTGTGCATACGTTATAACTCTTCAAACACAAGATTATTGTAAGTTTTTTTCTTTTTTAATCAGCAGAAGCTATCAAAGCTTTTTATAGATTTCTTCATCTCACTAATTAACAGATGACAGAAAACAGAACTGTGGAGAGCTTCTGGTTACAATTCGCTGTCATTCTGGCTCAAAAAACTGTAAGAAAGCGTAATTCCCTGATTCATTCACAAAAAGAATAGGTCTCTATTTGAAGAGCAAAGAGATCTCAGTCTCCTGCCTCAGAGATCAACTTCCCTTTGATTTTGTATCCATTGTTATTTAAAATAACAGCATAGAACCGAGGGTTATTTTGCATAGTAATATTAGAAAAGAAAATCATTACCTGGTATAATCTCCCTTGGCTTCCTAAAAAAAACAAACAAAAACAAATAGAGTTGATCAATATGTATTTTTGTTAAGCTAAATGAGTTTTATCTTTATTACTTTCCCCTCTTAAAGTCCCTGAGTTTTGTTTTGAAGAGTGTTTCTCAGGAACACTCTCCCTGTAGCCATAAGAAGAATTAGGCATTGGCAGGAAAACACTGACTGTCCTGTTGGGACTGTTCCTTATTCTTTACAAAAGAAGCAAATATATATGCAGTATGTGAAAAAGCACACATAATTATTTCCCGCTGTACGTTTTTAAGATCCCATGATAATGCTTTTCATTCAAGTGGCACACTTTTTAGACTGGAGGAAGACCTTTTAAACTACAATACAGGTAAACCAACACATACTATTTGTTTTCTTTTTACTTTTTAAACCAGCATAGAAACAGACTAATGCCTTTAAGAACTAAAGGACTTTTTTACCGGACCCCAAGAAAATGTATATAAAAGTTACTAAATTTACAAGAAAATTACAGCTGTTGTAACAACTGCTGTCTCCCAAATTCAAGTATCCCAGGGAGCTCTTCCAGGAATATGGTTTTAACGCTTTTCCTTCAGAGCAGTCTAAATATCATTTTTCTTTGAGACACACAATACCACATTGTAGCTCATGCAAACTATTCTAAAAGCAGAAGACGATGGCTCACATTTTTTCATTGGCAAACAACTAACTGGCTTAAACATCCAGCAGGTACTGGTCCATGCAAAAGTTTCAGAGTTGCAGGCAGTTAACAAAAACAAACACAAGGGAACTAGCTGCTAAGAGGCAGTTTGTCCAGTCTTACCTGTAAAATAAACGCTGCTAACTTGAAGATGGTTTCGCTGTCTACTTCGATTTGCCCCTGTTGGAGGAAAAGGAAAGCATCATTGACCATGGGGCTGTCCTAGGTTGTAGCAAATGGTCTGAAGTTGAGGAAGCTGTCACAGCTTGGCACCTCCAGTTTACGATGAAATGCAGATCATACCATTGCCGGGGAAAGTGGGGGGTGTTGAGAGACTCACTGAGGATTAAGGGGAAACCACTGTGTGTGTGTGTGTGTGTGTGTATGTGTGTGTGAACCACTGAGTGAGTGAGTGAGTGTGTGTGTGTGTGTGTGTGTGTGTGTTTTAAGTAGCTAGCTGTGGTAAGGGATTTTGTTTAGAGAGCAGTATTCAGGAAGAAACGGGAATGACTTTGAGGCTAAACATTCAGACAACTTCTAAATGAACAATTTTTATGTCTGCAAATTCATTTTTAACCACTCTGCAATTTCCTAGATTCATTTGTTGAGTGTTTTCCTGGAATAATTTTTTTTTCTCTGTGTTGTAGTACGGTTACCCCAGTATAAACACAATGCAAATATTATTACAAATTTATATTCACTTCTGTGTTAATGGCACATTGTTGAGTTCATATTTGTACTATTATAGATAAAACATGAGGCCTTAAAAATCAGTTTCAGCAAATGCTTTGAAGACTAAAATTCTGTTGATTTATGCTGAAGTTTGAGGAACTCTACTTTATCATTTTTCCATCTTTTTTTTTTTTTCATCCTTCAAAACCCCAAAGAAAAATTGGAATTCTAGGCCTTGATAAAGAATGCTTTTTCAGGGACTGGTACAGTGGCTCATGGCTGTAATCCCAATACTTTGGGAGGCTGAGGGCAGAGGATCACTTAAGGGCAGGAGTTTAAGACCAGCTTGGGTAACATAGAGAGACCTCATCTCTACCAAAAAAAAAAAAAAAAAAAAAAAAAAAAAAAAAAAAAAAAAAAAACACCACTTTTTCAAAAAACCACTTTTTCAGTAGCCCATTAGGGATACTAGGTATGTGTGGAAGGAGTATAGTTTCTATCAATAATACTCATGTGCACTTAATGTGTTTTAAATTGTGGTGATAACATGTAAATATTACTGAACCATATAATATTACAACAATGAATGGTATAGAAGGATCTTTATTATTATTATTTTATTTATTTATTTTTTGAGAGGGAGTTTTGCTGTTGTTGCCCAAGCTACAGTGCAATGGCATGATCTCAGCTCACTGCAACCTCTGCCTCCCAGGTTCAAGTGATTCTCCTGCCTTAGCCTCCCGAGGAGCTGGGATTACAGGCATGTGCCACCACACCGAGCTAATTTTGTACTTTTAGTAGAGATGGAATTTCTCCATGTTGGTCAGGCTGGTCTGGAACTCTCACCTCAGGTGATCCTCCAGTCTTGATCCCCCCAAAGTTCTGGGATTACAGGTGTGAGTCACCGTGCCTGGCCACAAGGGATCTTTATTTTTAAAAAAGGTTTTAGTGGTAATGTTAGCTTGTAAGTTTTAACATATGCAGAAACAATTTCACATAACCGGCTTCTTGCCTAAGTCCTGTATAATTAGTACTTGAACGTGCACAGCGTTTAAGAACATGGAATTCCTGGGAATTGCCCTGCATTCTTTCTTCCTCCTTTCTACCTCTTAGATCTGAGTTGGAGTGTTTCCTAGTTATACCAAGTGCATCAATGGGAAGACTAAGTCATTTTAAAGTAAATATACAATAGACAGTTTCCAGAGATTGTTACGCTCAGTGAGGATTTCTGAAAGGATTGTGCTTTTCTTTCAGGTTTCCACGTGATTTGATGAGGGTTCTCAAAAACAAACAATAATTATTTTAAAACTCGCAAAATAAAATGAGCAAATAAAAGCCCCGGGGTGTTCTCAGCAGTGATAATTATTCATGTTTCCTTTATATTACAACAAGAGGAAAACAAATGAATTTCATCCTCTAACGCAAAGGCCGCCCTTCTGAAACCCGAGACAGAGGATCTGCTTCAAAGTTTTTTGCCTCAAAAGCTGACAGGCCCAGAGTCTTGGAATGCAAAGCTCATCCATAATTGCTAGAAACAGATTACAAAATCAAAGGGAAGCCAGGCTGATTGTAGAAATCAACTGCCCTCTGCCTTTCAGGGAAGAGACGGTGGTTTTCTAATCTGGTGAAAGATGTGAGGTGGTTCATCCAACAGGTGAGGTGGGTGTTGATCAAGATTAAATTTTAGAAAGTCTGCATTCCTTAGTTCAAAGAAAAAGAAACTTATGGCAAAGGGAGGAGGACTGACAGGAGAACTCAAAAACATCATTGGGTTTGAAATTCGGCAGGAACTCAAAGCCAAACATGTCTTAAAATCTTAAGAGAAGAAAAATTACTTAAGATGGCAAAAACACTAAAGATGAATTAAGTAAATTGAAAATTACTGCCAACTCCTCTGACACCCCATGACCCCCCTTTGCCTCATCAGAACCTTAAGCTTGTCCCCCGAAAAACATTTCAGACAACAACTTTTCAATTTAGTAAATGGAAGTTCATCAGACAGACAGAAAATCCTATAGGAGATATTCTTAGGGAAGCTGCCAAATAATTGTTTGCTTTAGAAGGGTTATTAAGTATTAAAAATGCTGAAGTGAGGAACTGAGCAAGACAAGCACCAGGCTCAGACAGCTCCAGAAGAGTGGGAAGCAAATATCCAACTCACCTGTGGACTTTTCCACCTACACAAGTGGCCTCAATACAGTTCTGGTGGAGGGTGAGAAGGGGGTGAAGGAGTGGGGTCTAGCAATATCTTGTTCCAGGAAGAGAAGAGAACACATGCTCTGGCAAAGGCCATGTTCTTTTAAAAGTCTCAGCCCTCACCATACCTTCCATTTACAACCACTGTTCTAGAAATCCCAGGCAACAAATACTGAGTTTTAATACTGACTGCCAACGTTCTTTGACTCATTCACGGCATTTACTAAATAATACATCAATCAAGTGTACCACTATTTGCCCGGTACTCTGCAATTTCATTTGGTGAAATTAAATTAAGAATCATAAAGAACTCCAGTATTTCAAGGCTGAAGTATAAAAGCTGTTTTGGAAGTGAGGTCTGCCCAGGACAGAACATTTCTTTTACTCCCAACCATGGCAACAGAGGTAACCTTATAGGTACCAGGCAAGCCAACATTTGAGAGAGGGATCTCCTCAAAGAGAGAGGTAATGGGATCCTTTAGTGGGTTTCCATGACTGTCATGGATCAACAAAGAGAACCAGAGAAGTGAGTCAGATGATGTGGCTGAATGTACAAAAGTAATATGAAACAGTATCAAGTCCTGGTGCCACACCCTCATGGCTAATTTAGCTGGATTATAAATTTAACCAGTAGGTCACTGGTTTCAGGTGCCACACAGGACATCTCATTTTTGTCCTTGGCTTCTTGGCTCAGTTGACCAAGACACCAGCCTAATGAGGTAAAATTCAGGTTCTGATTTGCAAGTAGGAGAACAGAATCAAAGACAGTTTTGGGGCTGGAAATGGAACTTAGTAAAAATATGACTTTTTTTTTTTTTTTTTTCAGATGATAGGCAATGAGGATCAGGAAGATGCAGTGTAATATCCAATCCCCTTGAACATGGCGACTCTGGACTCCCTGTCTGGTGCTCTTTCCACTCTACCATGCACTAGTTAACTTTTTATGACCCCAGTACAAATGTCTCATTGGGAGTCCTCCAAAGTTATGTTTCTGGTAAAAACTGGAAGCAGGAGAGGCTATGGAAAAATGAATCCAATGCTACCTCCACTGTTGCTGGGACTGTATGTTATCCACATACACTCTCAAAGTAGAGTGGGAAATTATTTCTTAAGACTATTCTGCTCTTCCCATATGGATGCAGAACTTCATGGAAACTTATCTGCACTATAGCAATGAATATTAATACTGTGGTCACAAATACTTAGGATTTAGACATACTTGAGAAACTACTGGAACACCTCAGTTTGTTTCCAAGTCTACTATTAATTACCTATTTTAAGGATAAGCCTTTAAAATTAACTTGTAGAATACCAACACATAAATGTAGAAGAAATGAAAAAGAAAGAAAATTACCATTGTACCTCTCCTAGTACTAACTGATTCAGGCAATAATCCTCAATAGATAAAAACCATCTATTGAAGTCTGGTGCCATGGCTCACACACATAATCCCAGCACTTGGGGAGGCCGAGGTGGGGGGATTGCTTGAGCTCAGGCATTTGAGATCAGCCTGGGCAGCATAGTGAAACCCTGCTCTACAATATATCAAAACTTAACTGGGTGTGGTGGCTCGTGTCTCTACTGCAACTACTACGTAGGCTGAGGTGGGAGGATGGCTTGAGCCTGGGATGTCGAGGCTGCAGTGAGCCATGATCACGCCACTGCACTTCAACCTGGGCAACAGAGCAAAATCCTGTCTCAAAAACAAAAAATAAAAAACCCGCAACTTTTGAGTGAAAGTTGGATGAGAAACAGGACAGGATATTTACGTAATCACAAATACCTCTCCCTAGAGTACTTATTAGTCACAAAAGGGAAAACAGTTACTCTTCCAAGGGGAAGCTGACACATACCATCTTAACCCTGTGATGAGATACGGCCAATCACAGGACAGAACAGCTTCATAAGCCTCCTGATTGTAAGATATGCATGGAGAAGGACAGAACCCCACCTATCAGGTGAAATGAAAATGTTTCACAACTGGAAATTAGGGGCTGGGAAAGGTCTGATTTGTAGCATTAGTTGATGTCAGCAGTGTAAAGACTCCCACCATGGCTGATTTCAAGCTACGCATATAACATCACAGAACATGGAGTCTGAAAGAGATGTGAGAATTGGCTCTCATGAGGTGGTACAAGCTGGCTCCTGCACATCACAGTGTAGTACTCTTGTCAAAAATGCATTACTAGAGCCATTCATGAGGAACCACGAGATAGATCCAAACTGAGGGATATTCTATAAAACATCTGGCTTGGCTGGGTATGGTGGCTCACACCTGTAATCCTAGCACTTTGGGAGGCTGAGGTGGGTGG